GCAGAAATTAGGGTTTCGCCGCCGCGCACCACGGGGCGCGCGGCGGACAGTGCGGCAGCGCAAGCGGGTGGTGGGCCCATACACAGGAAGGCGGCAGACATGCCGCCCTCTGATACCATGTCAGAAGTAGTAGGAGTACGGCCTAGGCTTAGTAGCCTAGGCCACAGTAGGACTAGTAACGAGGAGCCAAGTACGAGCTAGGAATGTGTGTAGGAACAGAATTGAGAAGGAATGATTGAACTAGCAAGCAGCAGGATACAAATGGCAAACCCTAAGGGGCTGTACTCACTATAGGGTACCCCACTGCAGGCTACACAAACAACATATTCTGACAGGCATCAACGGCGAAAAATACACACTCACCTTCATTGACACTTACTCGTACCACGTGTGGATCGCCAACGTCGACGCCCGCTCCAAAGCTCCAGAAGTGTTCCGCATTTTTCTCGCGCATGCGCAACGACGAACAGGAAGGAAGCTGAAGATCTGGCAGAGTGACGGGGCCAAGGAATTTCGCAGCAACGAACTGGAGAGTGTTCTCACTGAGAAGGGGATCAAGCATGAGATCTCACTCCCCTACGCTCACCAGCAGCAAGGTGTCGCAGAGAGGGTTAATCGCACCCTCATGACAAAAGTGCGCGCCCTCATGAACCAGTCCGGTCTACCCAAGAAGTTTTGGCCCTACGCCATGAACCATGCGGTGCGCCTGCACAACCTTCTCTCCACCACCGCCAACAGGGACAACCTTTCCCCTCACATGAAGTGGACCGGCTCAAGGGGAGATCCCTCCATGCTGAGGGTTTGGGGGTGTATGGTTCAGTATCGGCCGACCTCAGCCACAATCGGCAAGTTCGCTCATCGCGCGCGCTGGAGGATTCATTTGGGTCTCAGTAATGAGCACAAAGGCTGGCTCATTCTCGATATCGACAGCAAGGAGATTGTTCCTGCGCGTGACGTTCTCTTCTACGAACGGCTTACCTTAAAAGCAGTGGATCGAGGACGAGCGTCGCAACGAGGCACGCGGCTACGTCAACAGTGGCCGCAGCTTCGCGTCTCCAGAAAATGAAGCGGCAGCAGCAGCGCTGGACCGCGATGACACCGACGAACACCCCAGTGTCCCGCCTCGCCCCCGCAACGACGACGACGATGACAGCGACGATGCTCCCGCGCCAGGGCCGTCACGACGCCAAGCTGAGCCAAGCACCACATCGCCCGGCCACGAGAGCAGCGACGACGACGTGGTGGAAGTCACCACCACCACAGACACCACCAATGTGTCCGGCCTACAACTTCTCGGCCTACACACGTCTGTCACAACTCTCGCGCACGCCGTCGAGCCCAAGAATCCTCGCCAGGCCCTAACCGGCCCTCACGCCAAGGAGTGGCGTGCCGCGATGGATGCGGAGCTAAAAGCGCTGGAATCTCGAGACACATGGGTCCTAGTCGATCGTGCGGCAGTGAAGGGGAGGAGGGTGCTCAGCGGGAAGTGGGTCTTTCGTCTCAAAACCAACGCTGACGGAACCATTGAGCGCTTCAAAGCTCGCTGGGTCGTTCGCGGGTACGACCAGTGCCACGGCATAGATTTTGATCAAACCTTCGCTCCCGTCAGCCGACACACCTCCGTCAGGATTCTACTCGCCATCGCAGCCGCTAAGCATCTTCCACTGCGATAGATCGACGTGAACAACGCGTTTCTATACGCGTTGGTGGATGCTACCATCTTCGTGGAGCAGCCTCACGCCTACGGAGAAGGAGATCCCAGGGTCTGCCAGCTGAAGAAATCCCTGTACGGGATAAAACAGGCGCCTCGCCTCTGGCAGCAGCATCTGCACAAAATTCTTCTGGAGATCGGCTTCAAGCAGCTGCCGCACGACCCGGGAATGTACCGTCTTCACTTCAGTGGCAACTACATCCTCCTGACAGTTTACGTCGACGACCTGCTGTACACGGGCACCTGCAACAAACTCCTTAACCAGTCTGAGGAGAACCTGGCACAGCGCGTTGACATCACCATCAACCACAGCGTGAAGCAGTTTTTGGGACTGAACATCACCTACGCGCCAGAAGCAATTCACCTGTCAGCCTCCAAGTACGCAGAGCAGCTGGGGGAACGCTTCAACATTTCGCCCGCACCACTTTCAACTCCCTACCGCAACCCCAGCGCCAACTACAAACCGGAGAACAAACCTCTGTCACCCGCAGGACTTCAACTGTACCAGCAGCAACTGGGTTGTCTGCTATTCGCCTCTGTCACCTGCCGACCCGACCTTTCGTACATCGCTAGCCAACTGGCACAGTACTCCCGCAAGCCAATAGCTGAGAACCAGCTGGACCTGGAGCGCGCTCTGCAGTACTTCATTTCCACACCTGACATCGGGCTCTCCTACTCCACGCTGACGACGACCTCCTTCAACCTCAACGGTTACATGGATGCAGATCACGCTGCTGATCCTGCAAATCGACGGTCTCGAACCGGCTTCGTTTTTCGCCTCGAACCAACTGGGCCAATCTCCTGGAACTCACAGAAGCAGGAGTTGGTTGCCCTGTCATCGGCTGAAGCAGAATACATCGCCGCGACAGCGGCAGTTCGCGAAGGCTTGTACCTACAGGAGCTGTTACAGGAGGCGAAAATCCCAACTTCGCCCACTTTTCGTCTTCACTGCGACAACCAGAGCACCATCAGGATCGCGAACAAGCCAGGTTTCGTGAACAGCACGAAGCACATCGCGCTTCGCTATTTCTTCGTCAAAGACGAAATTGACCAGGGGAAAGTTGACCTCGCGTACTGCCCGACTACAGAGATGGCAGCAGACTTCCTCACCAAGCGCCTGCCACGTCAGCAGTACAAGCACTGCTCTGACCTCACCGGAGTAGTCAAGCGAGTCAGCTCCTTCTGCGCCCAGGGAGTGAAGGGGAGTGTTACGATATGAAGTTGTATGAGAAGGCATTCTTGTATGCTGCAGGAGCCGACTCTACTGATTATGAAGTCGAAGAGTCAGAAGAGTCGAAGCGACGCAGCAACCGTCTGACCAAGACCGATGCAGGCATAAACATTTGAAATTAAAAGAGCGGGAACAGGTTTGAAACGGGTTCCCGCGCCGCACGGTTTGAATTCGCTGCAATAAGGGAATGTACCCCTTAGAGTACATGGCTAGTCTAGGTCTTTTCGTATTCCCCTTTGTTCTTATATAAACCCGATGTATGCATGCTTTTATCAACTCAGTCATTTACATTCACTCTGACCTGAGATTCAAACTTCCGCAGCAATACTACTCTGCTATCAACCCTGAACGATCCTTCGCTAAGTCCCACCTGGGATTGTAACAATTAGGGTACATTCCGCTCTGGACATGTCCCAATCGTACATGTCCCAATCGATTCCACCGCACTACATCTTATTACACCGAATTACACCCTAGTTTCAAACATTGTCAAAATTTTCGCGTCTCTGGTTTAGTTCGGTTCGGAGCGGTGGAATCGATTGGGACATGTACGATTGGGACATGTCCAGAGCGGATGTCAGAATCCCAACCACTAGACCATTGGGATAAAAGGACTTGTTTCAGTAGCGGGTCAGTGCGCCCATAACCCCCCAGGCAAACGCGCCTGTAACCCCCCCTAGGATCGATCGGGGATCTCACAGTGCAGCTCTACTGACACCCCCCCACACTGGGAGGCCCAGGACTGAGCACAGCGGCAACGGCCTGCATGTGCATACACCGGGATTCGAACCCGAGACCGCTTTGATACCATGTCAGAATCCCAACCACTAGACCATTGGGATAAAAGGGCTTGTTTCAGTAGCGGGTCAGTGCGCCCATAACCCCCCAGGCAAACGCGCCTGTAACCCCCCCTAGGATCGATCGGGGATCTCACAGTGCAGCTCTACTGACAGCGGAATGTACCCTTAGTAAAACAAAATGCCCATAGCAGTGATCGCCTGTCAGGTAACATCGGCAGACTTGGAATGCGTGTGCTATGGCGCACATTTGTCGCACATGCACCCTTGTTTCACCATATTGAAGTTTTATGAACAGCAGAAAACTGGCTAATAATGTTAATATTTCAAAAAGGGATTTCAAGTGAAGTGATTTGTTCGGAGTTTAGTCGCATAACACTCAAAAAAATAATAGGTAAAAGCTGAAAATTGTCAAAAAAATTGCTACCTGATTTATATTGTCCACATGGGAATGTTATACTACGAAGAGACTAAAATGGATGTGCGCGCGTAGGTTTTACTCACTCGTACTCAAGCGCGTACGGTAGCGCCTGCTTCGACCACCTTGGGATTGTTGTGGCACGAGCCGCACCAGCCATTGTTGTATTTTAGACCATCGCCTCGCCCACCTGCCTCATCGCTCGACGACAAACACTCCTGGCTCTGGTCTCACGAAAGTCACTGCTTTTAGTCGGCGAGAAGGCAAGAACGGGTTCTAAGCAGCTGCTGAGTTTCAGGTTAGGTCTTCTGATCATAGGAGCGGTAAGCCTGCTTCTCAGGTCGAATCGTCTATCACAGCTCGTCGCACTCGTCGCATAGCCATCGCGCTTGCCACGTCTACTGTTCTTTATGGTCGAAGCCATCGCGCTGCCGCACTCGAGCTGTCGCGATCTCATTGTCGCCGTGGTGGGCCAGGCGCGGAGCTGCGAGTCCGTGGGCGCACCGGCGCTCGTGCAGGGCTGCGCAATGCCAATTGCGCACGCGACGCCTCTCAGGCGCTCAGACGCTTGAATCCCCCGCGACCAGTAGCCGCACGTCGACCGCGCGCGGATGGCGATCACGGGGTTCATTTCCTCGCCGTCGCGAGTACCGTCCGCGAGCGTGGCGCAGGGTAGTCAATTTCAACGCGTGCTGCATTTTCTGCTGGGTTTCGTGCTGCTGGCCACGTGTGCTCGCTGGGGATGCGTTCATGCGCAGCAGCAGCAGCAGCAGCAGCAGCAGCAGGGCGCAGAAGGGGCAGGTAAATCGGTCGAAAAATAGTGAGGAGTAACGAGAGGAATCAATGGTAGGCGAGGGGACAAGTGGCCGTCAGTCGACTCGACTCAATGCGTCAGCCGTGCCTCACCAAGTCTGCATTGCCGTCTCCGTCATTTCCCCCGTTGCCCCTGTGGATGGCCCATCGCTGCAGGGGTGCAGCAGACGCCACTCAACGGAGCAGCTACCACCACCACCCCTCTTCCATGGTCGGTGCTGCCTCTGCCCCTCACCTCCACACGCCCCCGCTCCTTTCATTGTCGTCCGACTTGTTCTCGTGCTCTCCCTGCCTCTCCGCACCTGCGGATTTCTCTCTCCCTCCCTCCGCCCTCGCTCACGCTTCACTCCCCCATTCTCCCCTCCCTCTTCGCCCCCCCTTCCGTATTACCATGAACCTCCTTCTCTCCCTTCCTTGCTGCTTCTCTCTGTTGGAGTTCGTCCTTTCTCTCTGTTGGAGTTCGTCCTTTCTCTCCGTTGGAGTTCGTCCTTTCTCTCCGTTGGAGTTCGTCCTTTCTCTCTGTTGGAGTTCGTCCTTTCTCTCTGTTGGAGTTCGTCCTTTCTCTCCGTTGGAGTTCGTCCTTTCTCTCCGTTGGAGTTCGTCCTTTCTCTCTGTTGGAGTTCGTCCTTTCTCTCTGTTGGAGTTCGTCCTTTCTCTCCGTTGGAGTTCGTCCTTTCTCTCCGTTGGAGTTCGTCCTTTCTCGTCTTTCCATATGGCTCGTAATTCCACCCATCCCACCACACGGCATGCATCCCATCTGGAACCATGATATCACTGATCATGCCATTGCCATCCATGTGTCGCCACCGTGCCATCCATGTGTCGTCATCATGCCATCCATGTGTCGTCATCATGCCATTCGGGTTGTGGTTGGGAACCCACAGGTCGTCTGTTCCACAGCAGCAGAATCTACAGCAGCAGCAGCAGCAGCAGCAGGGCGGGGGGGGTGCGGAGGTGCAGCGGTGGTATCTAGACAACACTGAGCTAGAGGCGTTCCTCAGGGCCTATGTGGACCGATGCAGCCACATGGCACGCCTCTATAGGTGGGTGATGCAGCCACGTGGGGTGATGCAGCCACATGGGGTGATGCAGCCACATGGGGTGATGCAGCCACATGGGGTGATGCAGCCACATGGCACGCCTCTAGGCGAATGCACAATTCAACTGTCACAATGTATTGCTACCACCCGCCCTGCACTCTCAACTCTCGTGGTTCCTTCTCTCATCGCTCCCAGAACACTCTTTTTTTGTTGCTGCTTCACTCTTCTCCACTCTTCTCTTCTCCTTTTTTGTTTTCCCGCATCCATCCTTCCCGTGTTGCGTCCTCGTGTTGCTCAACTCGTGCCCTGCCTGCAGCATCGGCCGCAGTGTGCTGGGCGTGCCTCTGGTGAGCTGCAAGTAGGGAGCGTGACGGGCGGGAGTGGGATTCAAGTGAAGGGGAGGAGTGGGGATGAAGGGAGGGTGGGAGAGTGACGTTTTTGAGTGAAAGTGAAGGGACTAGATGGGATGGGAGCCACTCAGTAGGTGCATGCGTGTTGTGTTGTACATGCTCCTGGTGTGCTGTGCTGGTGGTATCAAGGGAGAGTTAGTCACCCAGCTATGGGCTGAAAGGCCGACTGCTTTAATGCATGGCATGCGATCTAGAGTCAAGACATCTCTGCATTCTCCCATCCTTCCTGTCCCTCGTTTTGCTCTTGCACCGTGCCATCTCGCTTACCCCCCCACCCACCCACCCACCCGCTGCGCAATCATTTTGCCTCCACCCTCGATCCATATGTGGCCATCACCCCTGTGCGCCCATCATCACCCCTGTGCGCCCATCATCATCACCCCTGTGCGCCCATCATCACCCCTGTGCGCCCATCATCATCACCCCTGTGCGCCCATCATCACCCCTGTGCGCCCATCATCATCACCCCTGTGCGCCCATCATCATCACCCCTGTGCGCCCATCATCATCACCCCTGTGCGCCCATCATCATCACCCCTGTGCGCCCATCATCACCCCTGTGCGCCCATCATCATCACCCCTGTGCGCCCATCATCACCCCTGTGCGCCCATCATCATCACCCCTGTGCGCCCAGCATCACCCCTGTGCGCCCAGCATCACCCCTGTGCGCCCATCATCATCACCCCTGTGCGCCCATCATCATCACCCCTGTGCGCCCATCATCACCCCTGTGCGCCCACCATCACCCCTGTGCGCCCGTCATCACCCCTGTGCGCCCATCATCACCCCTGTGTGCCCATCATCACCCCTGTGCGCCCAGCATCACCCCTGTGCGCCCAGCATCACCCCTGTGCGCCCATCATCATCACCCCTGTGCGCCCATCATCATCACCCCTGTGCGCCCATCATCACCCCTGTGCGCCCATCATCATCACCCCTGTGCGCCCATCATCACCCCTGTGCGCCCACCATCACCCCTGTGCGCCCATCATCACCCCTGTGCGCCCATCATCACCCCTGTGTGCCCATCATCACCCCTGTGCGCCCATCATCACCCCTGTGCGCCCATCATCACCCCTGTGTCTGCTGTGTGTGTGCCAGTGGGTGCTGCTCATCACTTTGAACCCAACTGAAAAGCGCCCTCGCTTCACATTCAAGGTGTCCTTGCTTTTCTTCTTGTCATGAGTTTTCACACCAAAATGCGGGATTGTGAAATGTCGCAACAGATATGAATGAAAGCTGACATCTGTGTTGTGTTTGTTCCAGCCAGTTGTTATGTGCCATTCGTTATGTGCCCTCGTATGTGAGGAGAACATCTCAGTGTCAGTCGAGCAAATCTTCCATTGCGCCACTTCCCCTGCCCCACCCCACCGAGCTTGCCTTGACCTGGGCCGGCCCGTCCCTCCCAGTTGATGTGTGCGCATGCCTTGTGCGCCAATGGTCCTGACTTCCGTCCCCGCCCTTCCCTCCCTCGCTCCCTCCCTCCCTCCGTCCCCGCAGTACATAGGCGGCGTGCATGGGGACGAGCCGCTGGGGCGGCAGCTTTTGCTGTACCTCGCGGACTGGCTGTGCAACAACTATCCTTCACACCCCCTTGTGAGTGCATTGCACCCCCTTGTGAGCGCGCCCCCTTGTGAGCGCGAATGGCCTCAAGCTGCCGTGCCATGACTTTCCCCCAGTATCCTTCCTTCCCATCTTTGATGTCAGCTATTGGTTGGCTTCATTATTGCGAAAAACAACATCATCATCTTGTGAGACTGAGGCGAAGCAATCAATTCTTGTGCGTATGTGCGTTTGCGGTCATGTGTTTCTGTATGTGCATGTGCTCGTGCATGCATGCATGTGTGCACGAGTGATGGACATGAACTGGTGTTGCCTGGCTGTATGCCTGGCTGTATGCCTGGCTGTATGCCTGGCTGTATGCCTGGCTGTATGCCTGGCTGTATGCCTGGCTGTATGCCTGGCTGTATGCCTGGCTGTATGCCTGGCTGTATGCCTGGCTGTATGCCTGGCTGTAAGCCTGGCTGTATGCCTGGCTGTATGCCAGGGCAACACCGTGTTTGGGCAACTCCACGATTGTGTGTCGCATGCTTGTGCTGTGCGGTGCGGGCTGGTGCAAATGAGTGGGATGAGGTGGAGGGGGGGGGGGGAGCAGATGTGACGTGCATGGGCATGAACACGAACATGCTGGAATGGTCAACGTGGGAAGGATTGGTACGTCTGGAATGGGTTGGGAAAGGGCGTGGAGTGTGGAAGTAGTGTGTGTGGTGGGTGTGCTTTGTGTGGTGGTGTAGTTGTGGCGTGTGGTGAGTTTTCCGTTGTGGCATGGTGCATGTGGCGCGGTGGGTGTGCTGTTCTCCGCTGTGTTCTGCTTGGTGGTGGGTGTGCTGCGGTGTGCTGCGGTGTGTTGCGGTGGCATGGCAAGGAGCAAAGCAGGCGAGGGAGGTGGTGGAGGGGGTGGAGCTGCACCTACTGCCAGCAATGAACCCCGATGGCTTCACGCTGCACACCAGGGAGAACGCCAACCGAGTCGATCTCAACCGCGCCTTCCCTGACCACGTCAGTGCGCCTCCTCCCCATGCCTTGCAGCACCCGCCCCTCCCCATGCCTCGCAGCACCCGCCCCTCCCCATGCCTCGCTCTCTCGATCCCGTTTTCGCGAATTGTGGTTTCGCGTCACGCTATTTATGTTTCCGTTGGGCTGTTCCCGTGCTCTTGATGGTCCAGCGTCCAGCATCCGCACGCAGTATTTAGACGCGTGACACTGGACTGGACCATCAGGCCTAGATCTGGACCTTGAGCTTCCCCTTCTCCCCCCTTCTCTCTTTCCCCCATACTTCTCCCCCTCTCTCCCCCCCCACCTCTTCCCACCCCTTCTATCCCGCTTCTCTCCTGTGGGGGCGCCCCCCAAGGCAGTGGTTCGCGGAGATGAATGCGGAGGAGGCGGGTCAGCAGGCGGAGGTGCGCGCCGTGATGCGGTGGACACAGCGCCACCACTTCAGCGCCTCTGCTAGCCTGCACGGGGTGAGGGGGAGAGGGGGGGGGGGCGGAAGGGGGGGTTGTTGGGAGAGGGGGTTGGGGAGGGGGTTGGGGGGAGGGTGGAGGGGGTTGGGGGGAGGGAGGGTGGAGGGGGTTGGGGAGAAGGGGATGAGGGGAGGGGTGAAGGTTGAAGGGTGATAGTTGAGGGGTGAGGGGTGAGAGGGCAGGGGGTGAGTGCAGCAGGGGGTGGGCTAGGGATGGGGGAAGGGGATGATAGTTGCCGTGTCATGCTGGTACGTGATCAACCCCCACAGCTGAAGTTTGGGGTTCAGGTGCATTGCACTGCACTAGAGCGTGCGTTCGAGAGACCCACGTGCTTTATCCAACTCCTGCTGCTGCTGCTGCTGCTGCGCCTACTCTTTCTCTCGCCGTTCAACTTGTGCACTCTTCCCGCCTCCCGTGATTCCCCCTTTCATCGTTCCCAATCTACAACTCCCCTTTGTCCCCCCTGTCCCCCACACAGGGAGCACTGGTGGCGAGCTATGCATGGGACGGCACTAAGGACAAAGGGTACCGCCCTTGCCCACCCCACCCATGTGCTGCCATGCATCGCCCTGTGCCTCCATCTTTCCTATCTTGCATCCGTTTTCCTGTTCCCTCTGCTGTCATTGATTATCCTGCCTCCCCCTCCCCTTTTCTCCCCACACTCCCTTCCCTCCCTCCACTCAACCACAGAACTTCCCACTTCTCATCTTCATCCCATAAACCCATCTCTCCCATTCCAACTCCCCCATCCTCTTCCCTCACCCCCCAACAACCCCCCTCCCGCCAACCGCCCTCGCCCCCGTGGCACCAGAGCAGCACGCACTACGCTGCATCGCCAGACGACGCCACGTTCCGCCTCATGGCCACCACCTACGCCACCGCCCACCCCTCCATGGCGCTCTCGCGTGACTTCCCCGGCGGCATCACCAACGGCGCCTCCTGGTACCGCGCCCAGGGGGGAGTGGCTGGGGGTGGGGGAGTAGAAGGGAGGGGAGAGGGCTGGGGGGGAAGAGGGCAGGAGAGGGAGAGGGAGAGGGAGAGGGAGAGGGAGAGGGAGAGGGAGAGGGAGAGGGTGGGGTTGGTGAAGAGGGCGGTGGTGGTGGGTGAAGAGGGCGGTGGTGGTTGGTGAAGAGGGCGGTGGTGGTTGGGCGGAGTTGAGTGCAATTGTGGGTGGGGGCCTGGGAAAGATTGCTGAATGGTGCCACCTCTTGTCTCCTTTCCTCCTCCATACGTACCCTATCGCCTCCCATGTCCCCCCACACCTACCCCACGTCTCCCTCCCCCATGCCTTGCCCAAAGCCTCCTCCATGCCTCGCCCATGCCCACCCACACCTACCCCATGCCTCCCTCCCCTATGCCTCCCCCATCCCTCCGCCATGCCTCCCCCATGCCTCCCCCATGCCTCCCCCATGCCTCCCCCATGCCTCCCCCATGCCTCCCCCATGCCTCCCCCATGCCTCCCCCATGCTCCGCCATGTCCCGACCATGCGGCCATGTGTACGCACCCCCCCATGCGCGCAGGTATCCGCTGTACGGGGGCATGCAGGACTGGAACTACGTGGAGGCGCGCTGCATGGAGATCACCCTCGAGCTGCACATCGCCAAGTGGCCCTCGCCCTTCCTTGTATGCCCCTTGGCCCCGCCCACCCTCTTGCTGTTGTTCTAGGATGCCCTTGTCTGCCCTTGCCCTTCCTCGTATGCCCCATGCCCACTGCACACTTGCTGCTGCTCTGCTGTCGTGAGATTGATCACTAGGCCCTTCCTCGTATGCCCTCGCCCTTCCTCGTACGCCCTCGCCCTTCCTCGTACCCCTCGCCCTTCCTCGTACCCCTCGCTCTTCCTCGTATGCCCTCGCCCTTCCTCGTACGCCCTCGCCCTTCCTCGTATGCCCTCGCCCTTCCTCATACGCCCTCGCCCTTCCTCGTACGCCCTCGCTCTTCCTCGTATGCCCTCGCCCTTCCTCGCACGCCCTCGCCCTTCCTCGTATGCCCTCGCCCTTCCTCGTATGCCCTCGCCCTTCCTCGTATGCCCTCGCCCTTCCTCGTACGCCCTCGCCCTTCCTCGTACGCCCTCGCCCTTCCTCGTACGCCCTCGCCCTTCCTCGTACGCCCTCGCCCTTCCTCGTACGCCCTCGCCCTTCCTCGTACGCCCTCGCCCTTCCTCGTACGTCCTCGCCCTTCCTCGTACGCCCTCGCCCTTCCCCGTACGCCCCTTACCGCCTCCACCCTCTTGCCGCTGCTCTTGTGAGATTAATCATTTGGGACCTTGCCCTTCCTCGTATACCTGCCCCCTTGCTGTGGAAGCCCCTGTTCTTGTGTGCCCGCCCTCTTGCGACCACCTTGTGAGATATATATTGAGAATTGGTTTCCCCACTTGTCTTGGTCGACGACGGAGGCCCCTCTTACTGAATATTGAGCTTATCACTTTGCCGTCAATCAGCTCCCAACACAACAATCCTTTGGAACCTTGACTTTTTTGTCAAGATAACCACAACCAAGGTGAACCCTGGCTATATACCCAAACTAGGGTTGGGTGCTTATCTCTATCCAAAAAACACTAGTCTATGCAGCTAATACTATAAGTGGCGCATCCCCCGTTCGTTCGCCGCCTCTGTGCATGCGCCACTGCATCCACGTGCGTACCTCGCCTGCTGCTCATATTCTTATCCTGCTCCTTGCATCGGCCCTCGCGCTCCTTTCTAGACTCCTTTTAACCTCGGTCTCCGAACCGTGTTTCCGATCTTAATGTGTCGTGCCATTTTACAATCGGTTCTGATGTAGTTGTAAGTTGACCGAAGCTTCGCCCTGGATTTTGATTATGTTATGAATGTTATTTGTTCGTTCACAGAGTTATCTCAGCGTTTGTTCTTGTTTTGCGACGTCTGTTGTTTCCGCGTCCATGCATCATTCGGGGAATATTCATTGGAATCTTTCCCCCGTGCTTTTGGCGTCAGGGGGTCTGCTGCGCTTAAGAATCATTTGTCTTAGTAAGTTTATCCCTCAACATTTACCGTTCACCCATTGCGCACTCAGTGAGTTTCTCCCAGTGGGGGGTGCACGATGGGTGAACGGTAAACGTTGAGGGAGAAACTCACTAAGACATGATTCTTAAGCGCAGCAGACCCCCTGACGCCAAAAACACGAAGGCAATATGTCAATGAAGACTCATCGGATGCTACATGGACGCGCAAACAACATACGTCGCAAAACGATAACAAGTGTTGAGGGAACAACGCTGTGGAACGAACAAATAACATTCATATCATAATCAAATCCAAGGCGAAGCTTTGGTCGACATACAATTACATCAAGACCGAATGCGAAGTGGCACAACACGTTAGGAACGAAAACGCGGCTTGGAGACTGAGGTTAGAAGACAACTAGAAAAGAGCGCAGGGGCCGAGGCAGGGAGCGGAATACGAATCTGAGCAACAGGCGACTAATGCACGTGGGGCACAGTGGCGCACGCGCAGTGGTGGCGAACGAACGGGGGATGCGCCACTGATGCATTCCCATTTCCTCTGCAATGCACCTACCCGCATTCTCCCTGCTTTCTTCCATCTCACACCCCCCCATTCAGTGCTCTTTCTCCGCACCATTTTCGTCGTCCCTACCATCCCCTCCCATCTTCCCCTCTCACTCACCTTAACCTCTCACCTTCCCCTCTCAATTTCCCCTCTCACCTTTTCCTCTCTGCTTCCCCTTTCCTGTTGTCTGCTACATCTCTCCTTGTGCCCCCCTCGGCTCTTCCCCCCATGCCACAACCCTACGTGGTGAGCAGCTGCCTCAGCTGTGGGAGGAGCACCGACCGGCCCTGCTCGCCCTCCTCACCTCCACTGCCAAGGTGCGCTCTTCACGCCATGCTGCACCATGCCATGCCCGCCATGCCATGCCATGCCCACCATACCATGCCATGCCCGCCATGCCATGTCATGCCACGATGTCATGCCATGACGTGCAGTGTGCCACTCATTATGAGCGCAGTGTGAACACCCTTTCCAGCGCTCATCACGAGTACTTCATTTTCCACCATGCCATGTGACACACTGCGCCATGTGGTGCCATGTGATGCACCATGCCAAGTGGTGCCATGTGATGCACCATGCCATGTGGTGCCATGGCTTAAGATCCGAGCCCTATTATGACTTCCCTTTGATGCCATGCGACACCAGATGCCTCCAACACGTCCCTTCCTCCATCCAACACCCTTTTCTTCTTGCCCTGTCTTGATGCCTGCCCGCATGCCCATCTCCTCTTCTGCCACTGCCCCGGCCTGCCCCCTCATGCTGCCTACCATACTGCCGTCCACCACACCACACCACATTGGGGAGGGCGGCGAGCAGATGGGCGTGCAGGGCACGGTGCTGTGTGCAGCCACCTCGGCGCCCCTGCCTGCCAGCATCGCGGTGCATGGGATTGACATCCAGGTCAGCCGCTCTGCCCCTCTCTTCCTGCACTCCTGTCACTGTCACCGCATGCTGCGTGGGTGGATGGGTGCATGGGCGCATGGGGGTGCATGGGTGCGTGGGTGCATGGGTGCATGGGTGCAAGGTTGCATGGGTGCATGGGTGTATGGGTTCCACGGCTGGATGGCCAACAAGGACAGCATCATGATTTTGGCCACATGCATCAGCGGAACATCCATAGAGCCCCGTCACAGCAGCGCTCTGCTCATCTTATTTGTCACTTCCTGTCTCTCCCCCACCTATCCTTGCATTCCCTGGCCTTCTACCAACCCCCAACCTACATTGGCAGATAAGCCTTTCTCGTATAATACGCTTGCGCAAAAAAAAAAGAAAAAAACGTATCCGCAAATGCGGATTCATGCTGCTTTGCACCCCTCCCACTCCCCCTCCTTACCCGAATTCCCTTTCCTTTTTTTTGCCTGCCTGAGCCTCCGTATTCAGTGCATCCCCACCCCATTTCTCTTTAGCGTATTATACGAAAATCGTGTACTTTACTTTCCAACTTAGGCACCTCCATATGCCCCTCCCCATACCCTTCCCCATGCCCCTCCCCATACCCTTCCCCATGCCCCTCCCCATACCCTTCCCCATGCCCCTCCCCATACCCTTCCCCATGCCTCTCCTCTCCCCATACCCTTCCCCATGCCCCTCCCCATGCCCCTCCCCATGCCCATGCCCCTATACTCATCCCCTTCCCCCCACCCATCCATCCCCCGGCTAACACTACACGTCCATCCCCCCCCATCCGCCCCCCGCTATCACGTCCATCTCCCCCCATCCGCCCCCCGCTATCACGTCCATCTCCCCCCATCCGCCCCCAGGTGATGGCGTCAAAGCGCTTTGGGGACTTTTACCGCCTGCTGCCGCCAGGGAACTACACAGGTGGGGGGGGGCTGACGCTGGTGGGGGGGGCTGACGCTGGTGGGGGGGGGCTGACGCTGGTGGGGGGGGGCTGACGCTGGTGGGGGGGGGCTGACGCTGGTGGGGGGGGGCTGACGCAGGTGGGGGGGAGCTGACGCAGGTTGGGGGGGGCTGACGCAGGTTGGGGGGGGGCTGACGCAGGTTGGGGGGGGCTGACGCAGGTTGGGGGGGGGCTGACGCAGGTTGGGGGGGGCTGACGCAGGTTGAGGGGGGGCTGACGCAGGTTGGGGGGGGCTGACGCAGGTTGGGGGGGGGCTGACGCAGGTTGGGGGGGGCTGACGCAGGTTGGGGGGGGCTGACGCAGGTTGGGGGGGGGCTGACGCAGGTTGGGGGGGGCTGACGCAGGTTGGGGGGGGCTGACGCTGGTGGGGGAGGGGGCTGCTAGTGCAGTTGGGTTTCGGGTGGGGCTAACTGGACAGGTGTGTGGGGCTAACTGGACAGGTGTGTGGGGCTAACTGGACAGGTGTGTGGGGTTTAGGGGAGAGCGGAGTGCATGGTCATGAGGGGGATGCAAGTGGGGTGCATGCACCATTCGGCATAGAGGGTGGCGCGGGTATGGTGGGTGGCGCGGGTATGGTGGGGTGGTGCGGGTATGGAGGGTGGGGCGGGAATGGAGGGTGGCGCGGGTATGGAGGGTGGGGCGGGAATGTATAGCGGAGCGCCCACCATGAGGCAAAGGCCGGAACAAGGGGGAGATGGCAGTGCCAGGTCTATCGTGAAGTGCAATCCCTATGCTACGTTGGAGTTCTTTTCGGGTTACAGCAATGCCATGTTGCTTCCCTCGCCCTCTCTTTTACTTCCGCCCTCTCTTTCACTTTGGTCCACTGAGGGCACGTCGCTGCATGCCTCGCTTTTGTCTCTAACTCCCACTCCCCTGCCGCTGCCCTTCCCCCCTTGCTTCCCCACCTGCCCCCCTCTACTTCCCAGTGACCATATCACACCCGGGGCACATCAACCACACCACCAACGTCACAGTGCACTCAGGCCGCCCCACGCTGCTACACGTCCTTCTCCGCCCCTCCTCTCCCCCCTCCCTCCACGCCCCCTCTATCTTCCAAACCCGCTCCTTGCCCCCCCCGCCCTCCCACCCCTCGGGCCTCGCCGCCTGGCTACCCTGGCACTGGGGCAGCAAGAGAGGAGACGCCACGGGAAAGCAGGGAGTAAGGAAGGGGGGAGGGCAGGGAGGCAGGGCAGGGGGGGCAGATGATCCGTCTCTGGTGCTGCCTTCACGGCAGCAGGCAGCAGCAGCGGCGGCAGCAGGGGGGGTGTTGAGTAGTGATGAGGTGATGTGGGCGGTGGGCATGGGCAGCAGTGCAGCGCTGGCGGCAGCAGTGGTGGCGGTGGTGCTGCTGGGCGGGCTGCTCATGATGGTGGGCCACCGCCGCCGCCGCTTTCTCTTCTCCCACCGGGGGCTGCCTCTACGCTCGCTGCCGAAAGTGTGACTGTATCGAAGCTTGGTGTGGGCGCAGTGTAAAGGCTAATTGTAATTAATACTGGTGTGGTACTGGAGTTCAATGCTGGATGCAATGTTGCATGCAATCCTAGATTTCAGCAGACCATTTCCACAGCTCGACGGCTATCATATCAAGGCTCTTGGGGCTCTGTTAGAGTGTGCACGCACCAGCAGCAGTCGCACACGAACGGGTTACCTAGGAGAGTGTTTCAGACTCCTATGTACGTGCAGGGCATGGGCATCACAACCCATGTGCATGGGATGCACAGCTTCTGCGCCATGCCATGTGGCATCACATCACATCACATCACATCACACGGTGAGGTGAGTCTTCAGATGTCCATGCAGTCCGCATCATCTGCACCACCACCTCCATCCCCATCCCCAGCACCAGCAGCACTCCCACCAGCACCAACCCCAGCAGCATCAGCACAGGCGTCACTGCCACCGCCGTCCAACACCTCATCCGCGCCACCCAGCCCATCCGTGAAGCGTGCTTGCAGCATGTCGGCGTGCCCGGCGCCCGCAGCCAGGGAGTGGTCGTGCAGGAAGGAGATGTACGCTGCTGCTCGCTCCAGCAGTGATGCCGTGTCCAGCCGTGCACTGCCCGGCACCAGTGACTGGTGGGACACATTGGGAGGGCGAGGGGGGAAGGAAAGAAGGGTTGGAGAGAGGTTAGGGATGGGCATGTAAGCATGGTTGAGGTTCTTGAAGCTCAGGGTGCATATGAGGAGAGAGGTGAAGTGGTGGAGCACGCTGGCTGCCTTGGGATAAAGGCCGCACCTGCTCTCCTCTCCTAAACACACACACGCCCGCACTCAGTGGATAGCTCTCACAGCCATGCGCTCACCTTGAGCACGCCCATTCTGCTGCTGATGTTGGCCCTCCTGCGCCTTGCAGCCACGCTCTGGGCGTCCATGGCAGTGCCGCGCCGCTGCCACTGTGCCGCCTTCTCCCGGTACTCCTCCAGTGCCGCCGCCGCTTCCGCTGACATGCACACGCGCCCCCCACCCCCACCCCCCACCTTCCGCCGCTTTCCCCCCGCCTGCCCCTCGTCTGCAGCGCTGCCTGCCCCGCCTGCTGCCCTGGGGGACTCTCCTCTTGCCCCGGGTGTTGTTGCTGCTGCTGTGTCTCTTTCTGTTGCTACCTCTCGTTCTACAGCCATCGCCTTGTCACCTGTTGCTGTTGTGGTTGCGGTTGTGGCACCCACCAATGCTGCTGCCGGTGCTGCAGGCGTCACCGCTGCCGCTGCCACTGCCGTTATGTCCATAGGCGCTGCCGCGTCTGCCTTGCCGCCACCGCGCAACCCCAACGCGTCTGTGTGTGCGCCCACGATTTTCCTGATGCCCACTGCCGCTCTCCCAGCCACTGCTGTCCCTGCTCTCACAGCCGCTCCTCCCCCCACAACCGTTCCCCCCAAAGCTCCGCCAGCTGGCATCTCAGCCGCCCCTTGAGTGCGCCAGGAGGGGCAGGGGGCTGTGGCAGGGCAGCGGGCGGGTGAGGGGTTGGCGGGGAGATGCGCGGGTGAGGGGTGACGGGGGTGTGCAATGGCGGTACTAGGGGGTGGATGGCGTGGGGAGTGCGAGGGGGGAAGGGAGCGTGAGGGCTGAAAAGGAGGGGGAAAGGGTTGTGAGGACTGTGGGGGAGGAGGGCGGAAGAGCGAGGGGTGGGAGAAGGAGGGGCGAAGGCGGGCCAGGCCTCACACGCGCGCCTCCTGTGTGCGCGGGGCCGCGCCAATCAGCACCACCACGAGCGGCGCTGCGCGATACCGGAGCGCCGTTCGCGCCGCCGCCCTCGCTTCTTCTCGAGGCAGGCGGCGTGTCGAGGAGCCCAGTCCGCGCGCCCTCGCTCCTTCCCAGCTCGTCCGCCCGCCGTTTCAGCGAGCATGGCGGAGGCGGGATGCGCGCAGATGCGGCAGGCAGCGCGAGCAGCGCGCAAGCGCGGCGGTCGTGGCCGTCAGCCCTCCGCGCGCGGAGGAGCGGCGGAGCTGCTCCCCCTGTATGCGACGCCCCGTGCACGAGCCTCGTCGCGCCATTGGGCTCGCTGCCGACGGGAGGCAGCTGCGCGGCATCCAGTGGCGGGAAATGCGCGCGCGCGCAGGCGGAGGGGGGCGGCGCGATGCTATCGGCGGGGAGAGAGCCGAAGAGGAAGGGGGAGGAGGAGCGAGGGGAGGGGAACGCAGGGGGAGACGGAATAGCCGAAGCCTGCTGCACCATATCTGATGAGGCCGGCGGCGGAGGCGGGTCAGCATCATGGGCGGCATCATGGGCGGCATTATGGGCGGCATCATGGGCGGCATCATGGGCGGGATTATGGGCGGCATTATGGGCGGCATTATGGGCGGCGGCGTGCAGTTCGGGAAAGAGGTCCTTCACCACGTCGTCCCACGGCGTTGCGCCATCGTCGCCGGAGTCGCACCCGCCCTCCGCGTCGCACCCGCCCTCCGCGCCGCACTCCTCTTCGCCGTCGGCGCGCCCGTCGAGCCTCTCTATGCTCCGCCACAGTTCGTCCCCCAAAACGACGCTGTCCAACGCCGCCAGCGACAGTCGTGGCGACAGTCTCGGCGAAAGCCTTGGCGACAGTCTCGGCGAAAACCTTGGCGAAAGTCCCGGCGAAGCGCCCGGCAGGATCAACGAGTCGCCGAACGGAGACCATAGCAGGTGCTCGTCGTGCCACGTGTTGTCAGGCGAGCGGCGCGACCCAGAATTTCCGTAAGTCGCGTTGTTTGGCGTCGCGTCGCCAGCGTCGCTCGTGGAGAGATGAGGGACTGCCGCGACGGGAGTCGTTGCCGTCGCACATTCCGCAGCGATGACGAACGGCTTGTCGCAGCCCCCCGCGCCTGGCGACAGTTTGGCCTCGCTGATTAGCAAGTGCCAGCCATGCCCCTCGGTTTCATCCTGCGAGTGGGGCGCACTCGAAGACCACGTCGCGGGGCGGTGCGGACGCGCTTCTCCCGCTGATTGTCGCAGTCTAAAACTCGGAACGGTTTCTTTCCGTTCGGCCAGTGGCGGGAGTCGGAGAAACGAGGGCGCATCGCTGCGCTGAGAATCGACCCTGTGGAAGGCCACGTGGTCAGCCACATGGCAGCCGCTGACGCTCTTTCCGCCGCACGCCACGCTGTCGCCCATGCTCTCCCCCTCGTCGCCGTCCCACCCGCCGTCGCCGCGGCGTGGTGCAGCTTCGCAATTTCGGGCCGCATCGCCATTTCCCGAGCCGCACGACTCTTGAGCCTCTTCTTGCAACCATGCAGTTGAGTCGCCTAAGAGTTGCTCTGGAACGCGCTGCGCGCGCGCTGCGGATATATTAGGCCCTTTTGCCTCGCGAAATCTGAGGGCGACACTTTGTTTCAGCGCGTAGTAGGGACGAGAACCCTCTAGCGCCATGATGGCGAATATTTCTGTTTGGAGTGGTATCTCTGGATGGATTTGTTCCCGAAGCGCCCAGAACGAAGCTCTGGACGAATCAGTCGATCGGAAAGCGTAGCAGGTGTGTTGCTTGAGCTCGTTTGCTGCGGCTGATCGCATTCCTATAATTCCGAGTCTGGAGTTTGCCAAGAGCTAAGGCGCATCCCTAAATCCCCGTGCCTGACGCGACATCCACTGGCGAGAGTTGCGAAGAGCAGCAATAATTTTGATCGACTCTGTTGATGGCTGGGCCAAGCGCGATGGAAAGGAAAGCGGCAATAATGTTGGGCTGTCCTGCCGTGACACACGCCGGAACTGGCCCAATAATTTCGCGGCTCGGGAGGAGACAGAAAAGCCAGAAGCGACTCGCCACAAGAATTCCACACAGTTACGACTGTGGATGCAATGTGCTTCACAGTGTATTCATCCTTAAATACAAAACAGGAATTTCACAATAAGCATACACTTTATCTACAAAGTCATTCGTCATAATTACAGTCTCTTTTACATTAATATTATGTGTTTCAAAATCCTTAATATCTTGACTTCATGTTTAACGTAATATTCTTCCATCGCAAGAAATTGGAGATTTTGTTCTGTTCGATTTGAATGATCTGAATTGTAAGGAATCATAATTCCTTAACATAGTCAGTTGTTAGCGAGGACATCCCAAGGGTCACGCGACGAACCTGTTCGGCCTATTTCGTCGCACCGAACCACTCCCGAGTCGCCTCTGCACCAAACGCAACCATCACCGAGCCATCTTCGCCCGACCTCCCCGCCTAACTAGCTTTTCCCCTATTTAGTCGTGCCATCCTCATTGTATCGTCATTCAGTAATCCACATTCTCGATATTCGTTATTCTGCTCACTCTGCAAGTTCATTCATAACATGAATGGTGAGAGAAACCAGACTCATCCAGCATACTTACACTTTCAAGACCAAGTACATGTACAAGATAGGATACATTTGAGAGATGTGTGGCCACGGTGCAAAGCGGTTTGAGTTCGAGTTTTGACAGTTATCCAAAAATCACACACGCCCGAGCTGACCTGAGGCCACACCCACAACACACGTGGCAGCACATGACACATCGAATTTGCCACTTTTCGCCCGCAGCGCCGCTGCCACGGGTCTCAGTTCCTCGCACGTGACCAGTGTGACCGCATCCTTGCGACGATCTGCACGCCGTCGCACGACATTCGCGCGCTGTCGCCTCGTCCGTCCTTCCCTGTCCACATCCATCTGTCCCAAGTCTGCCTGTCGCACACACACACTGCGACCGATCCGGTCGCACGCGATGGTCGCAGACGACTCCCCTGCGAAGCTGTTCGGCGTGTCGCGGCCGCTACTCACCTTCCTCGCCTGCCTCCTCTCCTCCATCCCCGCCGCTGCCCTCGTTCCGCTCCTCCCCTCCCCCTCCACCCGCCACGTGTACAATGTCGTCGTCGGCGCTGCCACGTGTTGGTTCGCGTATGGCGGACTGAGAGGTGCGCGTGGTCGGGGGAGAGGGGGAGGGGGAAGAGGGGAGGAGGGGGAGAGTGAAGTAGGGGGGGTGGCGGAGGGGTAAGGGGGAGGAAGTGGTCGGAGGGACCGCGGTTGTGTGAGTGGGTTATGATGGCAACGGAGGGGAGAGGAGAAACGAAGGTAGGGGAGAGGAGGAGTTGAAGAACTGGTGAGGAAAGGGTTAGGAAGGGGAGGGAAGGAGGGAGGAAGGCGGGAAATAGGGAAGAGAATGGGTGGCTTGGGGGGAAGTGGAGGGCTGGGTGTGGGGTTGGAGGTGCGAAGGGGAGAGGGGAGAGTGGCCAAGTGCTGGTTGCAGCAAGGGGAATGTGTTGGAAGGCGGGTGGCTCTCTCAGTAACGACCACCCTATCCTCCCATAACCCCCTCTAACCCCATTCGCCCGTCCTCCAATTCCCCCATTCCCCCATTTCCCATTCCCCATTCACCCTTCCCCCCATTCCCATTCCCCCACCCCATTCATCCAATGAACAATGTCTCCATCGTCATGCATGCGAGCAGCGAATGCAGCCATCTGGGGGGTCACCCGCGCCTGCTACGCGCTCATGCTCGCCCTGCCTCCACGCTCACCTCACTTCCCATATCTCCCTCTCCTCCCAACCCCCTCATCCCCCGTCCCCCCATCGCCATGCGAGCAGCGAGTGCGGCCATATGGGGCGTCACCCTCGCCTGCTATGCCGCCATCGCCGCCCTGCCTCGCCGCCTCTCCGGCTACATCGTCTTCCTCGCCGCCTTCGCCTTCCTCATCTTCTGGTCTGCCCCCTCCCATCCACTCCATGCGCCCCTCCCATGCGCCCCTCCCATGCGCCCCTCCCATGCGCCCCTCCCATGCGCCCCTCCCATGCGCCCCTCCCATGCTCCCCTCCCATGCGCCCCAGCTGCGCCCCTTTTGTGTTTCTCTCATGGTTTCACTCCGCTGCTGTGCCTCACGCCCTGCTCTCCCCTCATTTCCTGCTGCATTTGTGTTTCTCTCATCCATCTCAACTCCTTCCCTCCTTTTCCTGCTCCATATGCTCTCCCCAATGCTTCACCGCCTCATGCTTTTATACTTCCATCCCTCGTCCCCCATACCCCCCATGCCCCCATGTCTTCACACCCCTCCTCCCACCAGCCATGCCACGAGCCTAGATGCGAGTGCGTGGAGGAGGGGAGACATCGACTTCACGGGCACGCTCATGATCGTCACTCTCAAGCTCGTGGGGGCCGCCATGGACTGCCAGGACGGCAGCAACGGGAAGGACGGCAGGGGGCAGCAGGACGGCAGGGGGCAGCAGGACGGCAGGGGGCAGCAGGACGGCAGGGGGCAGCAGGACGGCAGGGGGCAGCAGGACGGCAGGGGGCAGCAGGACGGCAAGGAGAAACAGGACGGCAGCCCACCAGTATGTGCCTTCTGAGATTCGTACTGGGAGATGCCTTGGCTGATGCCTATGCGATAGAATCATTGTCATTATGCTTATTCTGAAGCTCCCAGCACCAAGGATGAAAAATACGGAAGTCGTATTATACGGTCCGTTTAATACGATGGTATTTTACGGCAGTTTTTGGTAAAATACGGCGTTTTTTTATTAAAGGTTTTTTTCCAGTTTTTTCTTTTTTGCGAAATCTTTGAAACGATTTCAGCCGGGTATGGAGGGTGCACATTAGCCTAAAAAACAATAGATATCAGCTCCCACTACTACTACAGTCTACAGATCATCCCCTCCCCTCCCCCCCCACCACTAATACTCCCCTTCCCAACTTCTTTCCACTACCCCTACGTATTACCACCACTAATATCCTCCACTACTCATCATCCCCCTCCTCCCCCTCGTCATCCTCCTCCTCCGATTCTTCCCCGCTCGATCCATCACTAATGTCCCACGGATCCTCGCCCCCCCGAGTCCTCCTGGTGGTGGGCACATGCTCTTCCACATTGCCACTGCTGTCCGCCGCCTCCTCCTCCTCGTCCCCACTGCTGTCCGCCGCCTCCTCCTCCTCATCCTCACGCGCAGCCGCTGACCTCCCCTTACCTTTGCAAGGCTTGGTCGCCTTGCCCTTCCTCTTCCTTTTGGTGCTCTCACCCACCCTCTTCTTCTTGCCAATCTGCCCGAAATGCTCCCAGTCAATGGTGCATCCCACATTCACCTCTCCCTCCTCCTCAGCATCCCCCTCTTCCTCCGCCTCTTCCTCTGCCGGAGCGACGACACACCCTTCCTTGAGGGCACCGTTGGTCAGATCGGCGTAGAGCTTCTCCCTCACCTTCTGCTTTCTGTCAAAGGTGGCCCGAGCCCTCCTCGTGAACGCGACATAGGTCACGTCCGTCATCTTCTTGGCGGAGATGCGGTTACGGTCACGCCGTTGCACACGAGCAATCGCGGACCAGTAACGCTCCACCTCGGATGACGTTACCGGCTGTGACAGGTTCATCACTGCCAGCGACTGCAGCGCCTTCACCTCCCCGCCGTACATCCACCACCATTCAGCATCCGTCAGGCGCCCCCCCTCCACCAAAACCTTAGCAGCCCACCGTGCGTCGGGGGACCCCAACCGCCCCTCGCCCTTGTGGAACTGAGCCAACTGCGCCTGGATGAGGGTGCGCTGGGCGACATCCTTCACCCGTGCTTGGATGACCGCCTCCGCCCCAGTCCTCACCTCCTCATCCTCCCGCACTTCCCCCACGTACTGATTGCGGGGGTTGAGGAGCCACCCGAGAGCGTGCAGTGGGTTATGCATCTGTTTGTCCCACCTCTTGGCTAGGATAGCCTTGATTTCCGCCAGGAATGCGGGCTTGTCCTTTGCCAGCAGCAATTTTGTGCGCTTGACAAACATGGTGGCTGTCAATGGGAAGTACAAACACGATAACGGGCGGTAAGTATGGGCAGGAATGGGGTATGCATGCAATCACGACTCTCAATGGCGTTCATGCTAGGAAATGTATGTCTTACCTCCAGCCTGGGCCGCCTCGTTGGTCTTCACCGTGGCCTCTAGCATGAGGCCATACACTTGCCCCATGACTAGAGCCCGCGTGTCGACGACCCGAAGGACGTCATACACGGGCTGCATGATGCGGAGCACCGCGGTTGCGCAATCCCAAAACACCTCATCCAAGAGGAGGTGTCGGACCGCCTTCCCCTCCGGCTGCTTTGCCACCGCAATGTCCTCCCACTCCTCACTTATGACCATCTGCCGCAGCGACTTCTTTACTTCGAGGAATCGGGCGAGCATGATGACGTTCGTGCCAAACCGCGTTGCACCAGGCCGCACCAATGCAAGCTCGTTAAAGACCTCATGGAAGAGGGTGACGGCGGAGGCGCTTGCCTTCACCATCATGACCACGCGGTTCACCTGGCTAATGACCCGCTTCACCGCACGAATTTTCCCGAAGTCGTGAAGCATGAGGTCGAGTACATGCGCGGCGCAGTTGTTGAAGAAGATGCCCGGGTATCCGTCGCGCAAAATGTCTGCCGCCTTTCGATTATTAGACGCGTTGTCCATGACAACCTGGACGACAGTCTTGTCCCCCACCTTGACAATGGCATTGCGGAGGAGCTTGGCAAGATACCCGCCTGTTTTCTTGGCGGTTTTCGAGTCAATTGTTTCCACAATCACCGGAGCCGTGTCGTTGAGGGCGATAACGCAAACAAGCCCTCGGCTTTTCAAACAAGTCCATCCGTCGCACGTCAGGGTGCAGCCGCGCTTGAGCCAACTCTCCATCATCGGCTTCGCTAGCTCCTCCGTATCCGCCCGTAATTTCAGCAGAAGCGGGCCTCCAACCTTGTAGGGGGACGGGAGGGTGTATGGCTTCGCGAAGGCGAGAGCCGCATCAACAAATTCCTGCACCGCCCTCGACTTCGACGACTGGAAGGCCCAATCGTTCTCCGCAACAGCCGCGGCCCAGAGGTAGTCCAGACGAGTGCGCGCAGTCGTATCCGCCATGTCGCGGATGTCGCGCTGCCTAGCGCGACGAGGGGCAACTATCTCAACCGTAGTAGATGTGGAGGCTCGGTTTGACCCACCGAATGATGAGCGTGCCTGTTCCTCTGCTTCTTCGCGAAGCTTCTTTGCGACATCAGAATTGCAGGGAGTCACGTTCTTATCCTTCTTCGTCTCTGGCGTCCCGAAGACATGCTCGCCTATGCGCGTCGCGTTGGCAGTCACGGTTTCACCACAATGTTTGCATTTCGCAGTGAGGTTTCCGTCCTTCGATGAACCCTCCGTCACAACATGAACCCATAGTGGCGACTTCGGTCGAACCATGGCGTCTGAATGCCTGCTCTAAACGAGAGGTGAGAAGATTTGAGAGATGTAGTGCTGAAGTGAGTGAATGGTGCTTCTATTAGTACTTAGCTAGGGCTTTGGTGTTTGCTGTGTCGAGAGAATTGTGTGAGAGGGATGAGTTCAGGAAATGTAAGGCGATTGGCTGGCTTGGATGCGCCGCGTGAAGGTTGGGGTTTGTGTAGGATTTGGGCGAAAAATAGCTATTGGGCGCGAGATTTCGAAACGGGCATAGCGAAACGGGTGAACTAGTTTCAACCGTTCGCCAAATGTTGAAATGTCGCGACTCGGTATAACATTCTCGTTGCGCTTCGACGAAACAAATTTCGCTGTAGCGAAACAGGTAATCCCTGGTTTCGCCATCGTCCGTTTCCTTCAATGTCGCGACTCGAATGTGTGGTGGAATTCGCGACCCGGGCCGAAATTGATTCTGCCACGATAAATTCGTGCGCAATTTCACCCTGAGATTGTATGGGGGACAAATTGACAATCTCACTATAGTGTTTCACGGTTTCAAAAAATCGGTCGTTTAAAACAACCGTATTTTTAATCGAAACAGAAAAACACAAATTAACCGTATTTTACCGTTTAAAACGACCGTTTAATACGATACCGTATAATACGGTAAAAAGGCAAAAAAACGGTCGTATTTTTTATCCTTGCCCAGCACCATGGACTTCCAACACCGTATGCATGGCATGGTGTGGCATGGTGTGGCATGGTGTGGTGTGGCATGGTGTGGTGTGGCATGGTGTGGTGTGGCATGGTGTGGTGTGGCATGGTGTGGCATGGCAACCTCATATGACATTCCTTGCCGCATTCAATCGTGTCCTCACATTCGCTTTCCTGATGTTGTTCATTGCAAAAACGGACTCATAAGGTTAGCGAATTCTCGTAATAAAAGCACTTCTCATATTTTCTAAGTATCTATGTAAACCCTCCCTCTTCATGCGTGCTTTGCCCTTCCTAACTACACCCCCTCTCCCCGTACCTCCTCGCCTCTCCCCCCGTACCTCCTCGCCTCTCCCCCCGTACCTCCTCGCCTCTCCCCCCGTTCCTTCCCCCCATTTTACTTTCCCCGCCCCTCCCCTAGCGCGCCAGCAGAGCCTGCCCCCGCTGCTGCTGTTCCTGGGCTTTGTCTTCTTCCCCGCCTCGCTGCTTGTGGGGCCGCCCTTCCCCTTCGCTGCTTACCAGGACTACGTCGAGGGAAGAGGGGTGAGGCAGAGGGGAGGGGGGCAGAGGGTGGGATTGGTGGGAGGGGTGGGAGGGGTGACAAGGG